AATACTATGCAATACTATGCAATACTATGCAATACTATGCAAAGCTACACAATACAATGCAATACTACACAATACTACGCAATACTACGCAATACTATGCAACACTATGGAATACTGCAGAATACTATGCAATACTATGCAATACTATGCGATACTATGTGATACTATGCAATGGTAAGTTGCATATGATCACTGCTGAGTGACAAGATGTAAAGCTTTGCGTGTCGCCCCTCAGCAGTGATCATATGCTATACTTGCATTTGACATCAAGGGAATATCGATCCATTGCAAATCATCATGGTATGCAGTGGACTGATTTGATAGATACCCTTTGACATTCCCTTTGCTGTCAACATACCAATATACCTGCCATGGCATGCACATTGCATCAAGGTAACATTTGTTTTTGAAAACACACCCACCCACACACACACACACACACACAAAAGCACCAAAATCTGTTGTCGTCAACAACAACAGCAACAACTACAACAAAGTTACGAAACTCATTTCAAGTCTTGATAACCTAGACCACCATGCATCATGGAGATGACGATAACAAGAGACGGATGGAGTAGAGGCCAAAGTTGTTTGGAAAATTGTGCCAGCATGGCTCAACAGCCTGACGAGCACAGAGATATTCGTGGAAGATTGATGAAAGACACAGGAATGCTTAGTTAATCTCAACTTACCCCACGTGACCTTGCTGCTGATCGATCCCAAATCCACTATAGTCAGCAGCTGCACTCCACAGCACAGTAGAGATAGAGATGATCCTTCAGGGTGTGCTCTTCCCAGTCTGATAGCTTGAAGTTTGAACCACTTGGGGTGGACTTGATTATGTCCATCGTGCAATGAGCAACCACTTTCAGGGCTGTGTGTGTGTGTGTGTGTGTGTGTGTGTGTGTGTGTGTGTGTGTGTGTGTGTGTGTGTGTGTAGTGGGTGTGTGTAAACACGGCCACCCCGTATATACGGAAAACAAGAACATCACATCTGTCATATCGCGACAGGTTAGTAGCAGTTTAAACATAGTGGGTGTTTTAGCCATCAACTCATCTGTGAGGATGCAAGAGGGGTTTGCGATTTAGATTATGTGGGAGCATTTTATTAATTAGAGTTAGTAATTAAGGTTAGCGATGGCTGTTGAGGACAACCATAGGGGGGGTGCACACCCTGAAGCGCGCTTTTCGCCGCTTAGCACCCATAGCAGCTCGTCAGAGGGATGTAGCTCCAAGTTAATTTGTAGGTCAGGGAGGTTAAAGGGAGGTGAGGGAAGAGGGGGCTTGGGGAAGGTTAGGGGTATGTTCGAGTGAACCCATACCTGTGAGCGGAATGCCTATGAAGACGACATCTCTTCAACGGATGCCATTCTCCCTCTGTGTGTTAGGCCGCTCGTAGAACGCAATGGAGCGCAGCGATGGCAGGAGGGGATTAGAGAGTGTTAGCGATGGCGCTGTAGGTCCGCGAGCATTACGTCGCTCGTGCTTGCTCAGCACGTGAGCGTAGGCGAGGAAGGCAGAGTATGCTGTAGTGTTGCGGAGAGGTGAACGTGGGAGGGGGAGCGAGTGTTGAGCATTGCAAGTTTACCTTGCTGTAGATGCTGTTTGCAGTGGTAGTATGTATATTATACATTGAGAGTATCGTAGTGGTTTTGCAGGGTTCGTATTTCTTTGATGTATGGTGAGTGGGTATGATATAATCACGGTGTGTGCGTATTTGGTGGGGAGGGTGGCGGTGAGGGCCATAGCTATAGTAAATCCGAGGGGGTTGGGGTGATTGTGTGTGATTTCTTCATGCAGCAAGGGGTAGTGCGGGTGGTATGCCCGTGTGAAGCAACATTTTGCATGCTTCTGTGCTTCGTTTGTCCTATTAGAATGCAAGTGCTGTGTAGTTTTTGTGTTGTCTTGTCGTTTTGGAGTTTTGAAATGGCTATGGCGTGTGTGCGTGGTCGTCGGTGGGTTGGGATTTGTTCGGCATGTTGCTTCTGTCGTTGTCGTGTTTGGAGTCAGTCGTGTCGTTTGGGTGTGGTGATGTGTGTGGTTTATTTGTTTTGCTTGGCGCGGGTGTCGTTTTGGTTTGGGCCCACGTGGGATTTTTGTTTTTTTTGGAGGTTACTTCTTTTTGTGTATGCGATGGAGTGGGTGCTAGCGTCGTTAGATTTTCGTTGTTGTTTTTTGAAAAAAAAATAAAAATCCCATAACTGGTATCCAGCTTATTTCTCGTATGCTTATTTATGTGTTGTGGGTGTTAGTTTAGTTGCAGGTGGCGTGGGTGTCGTGTATTACCGTGAATAGGGAGTGGGCATCCGATGTGATGTGTGTCTGGTTAAAAAGTTTTTCAGGTCTTTTTCTGTAGACATTTTTAAATAAACATTGTTGAATTTTATGGGGATTTTGTATCTGGGGGGGTTGTGTGCAGAAAATAATTTTAATTTTGTTTTCTGTTATTATTTAATTGATTAGTTCTTTATTAATCTTTAATCTTTTTTTTAATTTAATTTTTATTATTTTTATTTATATATTACTTATTATTTATTATTTATTATTATTAATTATTTACTATCATTTATTTAATTTTTAGTTTTCATATTTATCATTTTATTACTTTATTATGTGACTTTCTACTCTTATAATCTTATTATCAATGTATGGGTTGCTTGCTTTTTATGTCTTTATTATTATTAAAAAATTATAAGTTTATTTATGTAATGACCCGTCATCACACGGACTGTAACAGACAGCTGATTTCTGAGTTTGCTCGTGGAATGCATGCCGTACTAAGTCCCCTGCCTGTTGAGTGGGTTGTGTTGGGTCTGAGTGCGTGCCTGTATGTGGTTGGCGTGCCTGGGTGATGAATGCGTGCCTGACTGAGTGCTTGAGTGTGTGTGTGACCCCGTCGGGGCCATGGATGTTGGGCAGGCCCGGTAGGGCCGGTACTTACCTGTGGCGTGGCTTGTGAGGGGTGCA